TTGTAAGGTAAATATAGATAAAATGATAACAGACATGTCTAACTGCAGAAGCTATAAAGACATGCTGAAATATATTGTTTTGAAAGGGCAGTGTTTTTACTTATTCACAATTTTTGGAGTGCCAGCAACATAATTGTAACATTAAGTCACCAAAGCAAAATTACCTGGCAAACGAAGTGCCGCTACGGTGTTGATCCCGTTCCATGCAGCACGAGGACGCCTGCCTTCAAGAGTCGCTCGGATGCCCAGGAACGTAGAGCGAGCTCAGTGCAGGCACAGAAGCAGCTTAGAGCATTTCGTCGAGCGCCCCAGCGGCCAAGAACTTACAGCTGAAATTCTGACAGAGACCTTTTAACTTAAACGTAATGCAAGTTTTTTGGCAGGAAGGCCTACCCAAATCGTCCCTCTTGTGATATGTATCTAGCCAGCCAAGCACTTTGCATGTACTTTTGGGGAAGACAGGCAAATTCAGAGGCAACAGCTGTACTATGGCCCTGCCAAGAAAGAAATCCAAGCAAACGCATAGAGCACGTCGGCACTGCTGTGACAGCAGCCTCATTGCACTGGAAACCAGGTAGCTCTGTCTTTGCATCTCCTCCTTTTGCATCTAGCAACATCACCTGATGTCTGAACGGGCAAATGGCCCTGGAGTGACAAACAGGAAAAGCAAAATAGGAAAAAAGTCTAACACTGTCTTTAAGTGTAAAAGCTAGATTCTGTCCTGAATATGATCACACAGCTTCCAAAGCCTTGAGGGGTAACTCCACTTCCTGGACAGCAAATTAGAGAGCCTTTAATTTAGGTTTCAGTTTAGTATGGCTAAAAACACAATGAATCTCCAGATAATTGCACTGCCCGTTTCCCAGCACAGCTCTCACCCCTGCCTGGCACAGACAATTTTCTCAAAGTTTCAACCTTTTCTCTGTCTCTCGAATGTCAAAAGAGGAGCTGGCTGCAATAGTGGCATTTTTTCGATGATGAGGAACTGCACCAAGACAAACTACCTATGAATTTGAATGGACTTCCAAGAACCCTTCTCATGAAAATATCCACGATGACCCAGCAGGATCTGACGTCACGCTCAGAAACGGAAGCTTCCTCTCAACCAATAGCTGTGCTTTTAAGCAGCACATCATCTATCAGTTTTATCTACTAGGGGACTCCCCACACAGAACAGGCAGGGAGACCCATATGACCACGCTGGTGTCCATCTTCGTGTCTCCTCCTTTCAAATCTAGCAACGTCCCTTCCCAAGAGACCTTACGGTGCAAGGACACTGCGCATAACCCCAAAGATGGAGCAGTACAAAACACCCAGCTGAAGCACTGTCTCTGAAGCCAAACACAAACACCTGGAAATTAAGCTGGGAAACACCTAACTGCTCAGCAGCATCGCCTAAACCAGGTACCTAATACGAGGTCTTACTGGATACCACTGTGTCAAAGAAATTAACACAGCTACCAGCCTGCTGAGATAGGCCCCCAATTAACTGAACAATATTAAAGTATTCAACTAAGAAAGTGTTGATCTATGAAAGGTGTCTCCAAATCTCTACTGAGAAACTACTCTCTTCAAAAGTGGACAAGAGCACTTCCTTTGCGATATCTATTCAGATATTTTGACTAAATAAAAAATAAGACTTGGTATCAGTGGAGAGCTGAAAAACAAGCTTCTGTTTTCTGTGCTCTTCCCATGCCTGCCACCATGGTATATGAGTTCATCTAATAATGCATTAGTTAAAGAAAAGCTATTTTAGGCAGCAAAAAAATTAGAGTAATAAGCAAAGTTGTCAAGTTTTACCCATATCTACATATAAGAAACAACTGTTGACATATAGATAACAAATACTAAAAGTTTATGGCTTCCTAGTATAGTTATTTACTCTGCTACAGACTCTACTATAAGACAATAATGTTTTGTAACCAGTTCCCCAAGGTGAATGACAGTTAAACATTTACAAGAGCCAATTTTTCTTCAAGGATCCCAAATTTTAATGGAGTCATTGCTTGAACAAATTGCTATCCTACATTTATTTGGAAGTGAGGGCTGATCATTTAGGGCATGGACATACACTTGGAAGTTTGTAAAAGCTTCACAAAATTCAAAACCAGCCCGCGCACTGGACTGCACCAGAATCTCAACTACAGTTTTATTAGTTTAAGGACTGTTGTCCTTAGGATTATTTTAATCCTGAAGGAATGAAGATATGAGAACAAAAGCATCTGAAAATTCAGAAGGCCACCTGAATGGCCTTTAAGAAAAAGCAAATGCTACAGTTCTAAGAGAAGTGACAGCAGCCATGATGGGCTCTCAACCCTCACTGAGAAGTGGCCTTGCTGGAGAAAGACAACACATCATGAACGCAATTTAAGACACACTGAAGTGGAATTTAAAATTTTGTGGTCTCCAGCAGCATCCACCTAATTAACAATGGAGAAGATAAAAGAAGATGACTTGCCACCCTGTTTTCTTAAGGCAAGACACTGCCATGTAGAAATAAAAAAGGTCTGTTCCCTGAAAGCGGTTTCTGTAGTGCCTGGCCTGCCCCAGAACATTGCGTGCTTACAGTTACGATCAACAGCACGTGACAAGACCAAATTCCACCGCACTTCTCGCTGCCTCCAAGATTGCGGCCAGGATTGTCCCCTTGCCATGACCCTCAGTTCCCCATACTTTTTTCCAGATATTTGTCCTGAGGTAGTGGACAGGCATATTTAGAGAGCAATGTTCTGCAGTTGGCCATCCACATCTTAAACATATGAATATTCATATGAGTCTAAAACATTCCGTTTCTCTGGCTCCTCTGCATATGGGGAGAACCCTGTAAAGGCATTCCCTGTGCCCAGATGGAAACATTTGCGCAGTGCTGATACAAGCATGGGTCACAAAACAACCACAACTACATTAGTAGAGTGACACCCATGCTAGTAAAATCCTCCCTTTAAAAAGACTGCATTGGGAAATACCAGTTTACGATTTAATGTTTGTTAACATTAAATAAACTATTAAATCAGTTTATGATTTATCACTGCATGTCATTCCTTTACAAGGTGCAGATCTACCCTAACTGGCTCAGACCCTCCAAAGAGAGAAACTACTGTGTAGAGCTCAGACAGGATGGCTGATCCCAGAAAAAACTGTGATGTTTGGACAGAGCAGCTTCTCCAGAAGAATTGACAGGTACTGCTTCCACAAAAATTTTGGAAACAGTAGGCCTTGGTGCCACAAGATAGCCACAGAGAATATGTAAGAAACAGAAACTAGCTATGGGATCATTCTCCAGAAAGGTTATTTAGGAAGACTATCGGTTTCAGCTGTCTGTTCAGTGTCAGGCCATCTGGAAGATGGTTTTAGTTTCCTTCTTCTAATGAACCTAAAAATTGTTTTGTCCTATAACTGGGGACAGAGTAAGGTGATCCACATCTGTATTCCCAACTCTAGGTGCCTCACCTGGGAAAGAGTGAAGTCTGCTAAAAGTCACTGGGGAGGAGACAGTTGCTACAAGCCAGTGCCAGGACGAACTCCTCCTGGGCTCCCTTAGGGGCAAGAGATACAAGCATGGATTTTTCCGGCTGTGTCTCCTTTTTCTAATGGGTCTTCCTCAGAAAAAGTGGTGAACTAAGCACTCCTTTAGGATACGCACCTCTCCAAGCAGAATAAATACTTACACCGTGCCTGCTAGGGTTCAACAGGGCCAGCTGCAGCGGCAAATTCCCGGTCCCTACCAGTCTATCTCCTTTATTTCAGTAACACACCAGAGGTATGGAATAACAGAAAAACAGTAACATACTTTAATATAGCATCAGCATACACTGTATCATACAAAGAGACAACACAAGTAAGGCTGTTACCAAAATACAGGCACTACCAGCATTTTATTTCAGATTACAGGAAATAGGAAAGATTGAAAGCAGATGCGAGGCAGCCACCTCCCCAGAAATGTTCAGCTACAATAGCCTGAAAGTTAACAAGATCAACCAGAAACCATACTGTTCAGAAGATAATTTGATTTCAAGTGCATGGGCCCACCTGTACTGGAAGTGTAGTTACCAGAAGATTTAAAGTTCATACTAATTTTCATTTTCATATATATACACAACTTAAGAAACAATTCTGAATTATAAAAAGTTCAGAAGTTATCCTTCAACAACACTATGTAGATTTATCTTTGAGGCAGCAAATATTACTCCTATTAAGGCTAGTATGAAAGGATGGACATCATGCAAACGCAATTAAAAGAGAATACATTACACTTCAAAATATGCAAAACAGGTTTAATTTTAGCTTCTTTGCAGAAAGGAATATATCAAACATCGTAACTTTGATCCACCAAAGTATTTACGTACATGCTTGAAGCTAAGTGCATGGAGTAGATAAACTTAGGTGAAACCTAACTACCGCCTAGCTTCAGTATCTTACCCAGATCACACTCCAACAATCAGTTCCTTCCACGTCTGCACCAAGCAGCTGTCATATCGTATTTTCATAAACACTTCTGGCTACAAATTCCATATGCACTTCCAACCTGTAAGGCCTACCTGTTTTTTAGCTTTGGAATTACTTTGTGATCACTGAACGTCCTTAACCCTTCCACTGACCTTGGGCAGGACGCGTGCACAGAGAGTGCCTGTGTACCCTGCGGATCCTGGCAGCGCACAGCAGGAACTGAAGGAGCTGCAAGAACTGTGTAACACAAGTTACTTCCATCAGATATTTAGAAAGATTTGGACTAATTTCCACATACTGTACCCCTTGCTTATGATCTCAAAGAGAAAAAAAATGGATTTTTTTTAAATCCATAACCAGCATTATCATTAAAACAAACAAGCAATGCTAATTTACAAGAACAAATTCTTCACTGGTATTTTAGTAAAGTAATGCTACTTTTTCAAGTAGTAACTAAAGATAGTTTAATATCAGCAAGGAGAGTGCTTAATTTCTCTATATCATTATAATAAATTGAAATTAAACATAATAATGAAGATGGTCAGCTGTATGACTTTTTTTTTTTTTTTTTACTGTCCTTGCTAACATCAGATCTAACTCAGAAATAAAGGAGTTATAATTTGAAAGCAATGAATGTGTAAAAGGGAAAAGAACACAAGAGCTGTGTGACCTCTCCCTGTATTTGTTAAGTGCACTGCATGATCTGTGAGTGGTGCTAAATGGTTGCTGCGTTTTCTCTTTCAACTCTTATGTCAAACTAACATAATCAAATTTCAGTTGTCTGCTCAAAAGGAGACCTGAAATTTCCAAACTTTTTTGTGACACCAGATCATATAATTTGTTTGGCACCCATTGAGTTGTGTAAAGGCCCAGAATTTTCCAAAGTTCTTTGTATCACATATTATGTTCAATGCTTACAAATTTCTTACAAACAGTATTCTTTATCTAAGAAAATAGTAGTTAAAAGTAGGAAGATTTCTTTATTTCAGTCCATGTAATTTTGAGTCACAGCAGCATATCATTTAGATAGCGCGAGGCACATACTCTGTGTACTTCTGCAACTACAAGAAAGAAAAAGGAAAAGAAAGATTCATTTTACTTTAATCCTGACCAGCAGCCATTGCAATTTTCTTCAGTTATCACTGTGGGACGTGATGGATGGGAAGACACACTATGCTGAGGAACTAGTATAGTACGCAAGTGCTCTCAAGGACTGTTGTTCAACAGCACATTTAGTTTAACTAGGAACTACAGACTATAAGAGATAACAAATAGTTCCAGGGAGCATCTATCATTCTTCAGAGAAGCTGTCTGATAAAGAGGATAATATCTCAAAGAACAATTGCATGATCTTTTGCTATACAGCTAGTATATCATATCACTGAAGGAAAAGGAAAGTGAACATTACCTCAAACAGTAATTGAAACTAAAAAATCTGCATTAAAGGACAAGATGAGATATTACCATTCTAACATTTCCCATACACTTTGCCAATAATAATACACAGAGAAATTGGATACACAAGAACATGCAAGCAAAACAAAGCTAATCTGCAATAAACAGAAAAAAAACAGAATACGCTTATTTTGAGACTCAAAGCATTAAAATATTCACCCAATTATGCTAAGTAGGAACAATGGAATGAGACCCAGATGTAGCCATGTAATTCAACAAAAATTCAATTGGCTCCTCGAGCCTTTATTTTGCTCTCTTTATAACCTGAACTTACAAAAGCAAGTAAAGTTATTGAATGACGTGGGAGCTGAAAAGCAAATGTAAATAAAGCATCTTTCTCTCTCTGTTAAAAGCCATTGCTCCAGGATTTGCGATTATCTATATGTAGCTATGTAGCCTTTTTCCAGCCCACATAAATACACCAGATCTCCTTCCCCCAAGGATAAAAAAGGATGTCAACTACTCTAATATCAAAAACATTATTTGAAAAGACATCCTCCTTTTTTAAGCGCACATATCCCTCTGGGTTACATAGTCATTTAAAAGCATATATCAACACCCATGAGTAACCTTCATCTGAAAGTTGTCCCCCAATACTACATCTAATAGTCTCAACTTTCTAGATGAATACCCTTTTCTAATCTAGAAGTCTTGCAAATAAAAAGCCCAGTACAAATAATTAGTAACTTGGTCCCCAAACGAAAGCTTCACTCTAAAATACAAAATAAATTAGTTATCTTGCAAAAAGCTTAAACAAACAACACCACTCATTTTGCCCCAAACCTTAAACTCAGGACCATCAGGAAGGCTGCAATTTTCTCACCACTAAGCTTAAAGAGATTAATCCCAGAACACATCAAAGACATTCCAATAGACTGTAATTGCCACAAAAGCATATAGAGAGACCTGCGTCCTAAAAACCTCAAGAGCTTTCCAAAGGTTTTTTTTTTTTTTTTTAAACAAATTTTACAAATAAAGAAGCAGGTAGGCAACGCAAAGCAAGAAATACAAAGTGTTTTATCATCCCAAAGCACTCAAGACGGAAGCAAACTGCACTAGGAGAAATGCACAAGTCTTCTTCAAGGCAAGTGCCATGTAAAGCATGCTGCATTAATCTAGACTTGACATGGTGAGAGCATGTCTCACTGTAGCAAGGTCCATACTAAACACCAGATCAGAGACAGAAGATTAAAGTAAAATGCTAGATGCCATAGTCACTGTTCCACTGATCTAGGAAAGGCAGCGACTCCAAGGTGACCAGAAACCATGAACTGCTTAATAAAAGGCCACTCCTGCAAAGTCAAATAAGGTACATCCAGCACTTTCATCCGCTCATTAAAATAGAAATACTAAAAAGGAGCACTCCATAACATATCCCCATTGCTTCTGACATGTTGAATCGAAGGTAAAAGAAGAAAGTTAGCAGAGATAATTCAAGTAACCAAGATCTTTTAGCACAAGACAGCATAGCTGAACAGCCTACCAACTAGCAGATGAATTAGTTTGTCACTTTAAAAAAAAAAGAAAAGAAAAGAAAAGAAAAGAAGAAAGAAGCTGTTAGGGGAGCTTATTAGGTTTATTAAACTTCAGTTCATTAAAACTTTTTATATTAAAAACAAACAAAAAAAACACAAAACAAAAAAGGTCTCTTCTAGAGGTCATTCAGAAAAACACCTCACCGTGGTTAAGCATATATGCAACAGAAACCAACACCAATAAAGAAAAGGTATGCTTAAGTATTTGTCAGCTTTCCTTCTGAATAGTTTTGAGAAAAACGTCAATTTATGGTTGACAGCAAACAAGAATGTCCGTCTAATTAGATTTCTTTTGTTCTGTCATGCTCCTGATCTTATCTGTGCAGTCTTCTGAAAAGAAATCTGATCGATGATGAAGGCACAATTATACAAACCTTAACATGTGCTCTAAAGCAAAGCTATGCAGAAAATGGAGAGAGGGAAGGGAAAACAAAGGTGAAGTATTATTCTCTTCAAATAATTTTAATTCAATTTATTTTCCCACAGCCATATAAATTTAAAATATGAAATAACAATAATACAGCCATAGAATCTAGGTTTTCTTTCAAAGCAGCAGCATATAAAACATATAAAAGCTAAAACCTCAGCACAAGCTTCAAAAAAACAAAGACTGAGTAAATTTTGCTGAAGACATGAAAGTCACATAATACAATACACAAAAATACTGGAATGCATAAAATATAAAGCTACACATTTTAGGTAAAGAAAGGCAATTGTAAAATATACAAAATTTGCAAAATTAAACCACGGGATTTAGGGGAGAGTACCATGAATACAAAGAAGTTGGCAATTAATACTTGTGGATGGAGAGAAGAAAGTGGCAGTTGTATACTTAGCATTCAGTTTTCAGGTTCACGACTTCACTTTCTTAGCATCTTTTTTCCCAGAGCTCTCAGCAGCCAAATCTGCTTTCCTCTTCTGTGACTAAAAAGAAAAAAAACTTCTTATAAATTCAAGCAAGCAGCAGCATTATACAACATATTCAAGTTCGGAAGTACATCACTAACCGTTCAAAATGAAGATAAGTGACCCTAATATAATATATATTGCAATTCACCTTTGTAGTATGTAAAGGAAGAGCAAACAAAAATCCCATACTGAAACACTTAATTCTTCTACCCTGTGTTTTCTTCAAGTCCTGCATTACATAGTCTTAATAGCACAGGTACCATACACCATTAACTGGATGACTGCTGTATGTACTGTTGTTTTAAAGATGACAATTCTTTAAAATAAGAAAAGAAGCACTTATCATTTCTTCCTCCAGGGACTACTACTATATAGCGGAGGAATAACAGTCTGAGAATAATTGTACCCCATCCAATGTATCATAGAGACACCCAGGTAGAAAGAGGATAGAACAATGTGTTTTCTTAGGCAGAGTCTCTCAGCGCTACTTACCTAAAAAATGTTCTCAAATAAATAAATTTCCCTAAAATCCTACAAATCAGGAATTCCTACCTACAATCTAAACTTTTCACTTCAATCTCTCAACTAATGGCCTATGTTAAAACAATCAGTGGCTAAAATTATTTTTCACTTTTTAACAAAATATAATTGAATTCTGCCCCACTGAAAGGGAAGTAAGTGCTGCTAAACATACCGCTGGAACTTTTGCTCCTCTCTTCTTCTTCTCAGCTCTTTCTTTTTCCTCAATTTCCATATTTTCTTTTTCGATTAATGATATGAGAGTATTGCAGCGTCTCTGAAACTCCTAAGGAAACAGAAAACATCAAATTCTCTAGCAAAGAATAAATCATACCCACTCTTATTTATATGAACACATTTGAAGCTCTTTGATTTCAAAAAACTTATTTTTCCAAAGCGTTCAACATCCATATACTAATAAGATTTACTCAGTTATTGTACATCTTTCTTTACAACATTTAAAAATCCCTTAGTTTAACCATTTCTCTAACCAGAGAAAAATACAACCTTTACTGAAATATTTCAGCTTTCTGACAAAGCGTTTTCAGGACCGTCTGTATGTTCCAAACTGACACCCCAAAAGACTGATCAGATCGTTCATCGTGTTTAGACGAAGCACATAATATAGCACCTCTGCAAATACTACACCAGATTTTAGGAGAAGTCATGTTTGCATATATCTTTAAAGCAGAGAGAAAAGGAATCAAAGCTATCCTAAGCAATATTTTGCTGTGGCACACAGACTAGATTTTGTGATGGCGTAAGATACTGTAGAACTCCACACTGGCAAAAATCTATCCAATCTTAAACCTTGAACTCACTGTCACATTTTCAGTCCAAAAAGCACCCAAAACACTACAGGCCATAAATGATTTTAGCAGCAAGATTTCCTAGTCATCTGAAAGTGATTAAGCTGTAAATTACAAAAAATGTCATTTATAGACTAAAAAATTCCAATTCAACAATAACAACGTTCATATTGCAGTTAATAATAACTATTCACTTGCTTAATAATAACCATTTGCCTTGGGGGTTGTCTTGTTATCCCATCTCAAAAAAAGTTTCTGATCGATATACAATAATAGTCATTTTTATTACGATTCAGCAAGGTTTATGTATATGAAGAACAGAGGTTCTATGAACCTCTCTTTCCAACTCAAAGGGGGAAGCTTTCTTCTGAAGGGGAAAAAAAAAAGCTAGGAAATAGCATTCTAGTACAGTCGCCAATTTATTTTTTGAATCACAAGCTACTCTAGAATTACCTAGTAGCATAAATCTTAGCCTACAACTGGTAAATTTGCAGTGAAGTGAATCGGTGACCTTTTTGCCCAGAAATTAGTCTACATTTTCTCAGCATCTGTAACCTGCATACTGCCTCAGCCATCACGTTATATGATGGAAAACGATGCAGTGTACATGCTTTCTTGATCCTGAGCATTCTGAAAGAGTCAGGCATACGACTCATCTTTAAGAAGCTAATGCTCTCAAGTCTAACCATGCTCCTCAAGTTTTATGGTTTCTGCAGATTCTTCTGCAAACGGAGCTCAGAGCCTTGGATGACAGCTCTGCAATCCAGAACGGACACAAATAATCCTACAACCACAAGAATTTATTTTACCAGGGGGGAGAGGAGACCTCAAATCATCCTTCAGGACGTGTTTTTCCTTAAAACTCTCTGCTGGAAAGCTTCTCTTACATGCAGGTTTGCAAACAGATTATTTTAATAACTCGTTCTATCACTTCCATGTAAAAGCAATCTTTCACTCGCCCCTCCCCAATACAAGTACAACCATAAATTAGGGCCCCGTGCCTCTGCCCCAGAACGTGACAGCTTTGCTGGAGTTAAAGTGCTCTCACTTCAACCACTTCAGCCAATAAAAACCCTCAACCTCCATCCAAGCAACAATTTTTGGATGAAAAGGCAACACATCTAGGAAAACTACGGTGATAGCCATCCCAACATGCGTTGCATCCCCAAACATAAAAGAGATGGCATCTATCCCAAAAGCCTGTTCTCTAGAGATAGAGTTGATAAAGAATAAGAGATACAAGTAGAAAGAGGATCACCAATATGTCAGAAGCATTTCCCATCATTTGGATTGGTATATATTGCACACAAAGACTTTGGAGCTGCAGGTAAAGATTGATTGCAATCTGTTCCATAATTACAATGAGCTAGATCTTTTTAATATAAGGGGAGCTGGTTTATGTTAAATTCAAAAGGAGATAGGAAATATCCTTTAGCCATTTGCCTGAGGCACTACGAGAGATCCTCTTATTTCCTGGAGAAAAACATTTGCATAAATGCATATATGGATTACAATAAAGCATATAGGTTTATCTCTAGACTATCCAGATGGACCACTACTCCAGCACAACATGCTGTGGACAGAGGACTCATAATAACAATTTTCTCAGGCAAATCCCAAAAACAGTAGACAGGAAAATGTGACATGCACGTAGGCTTCCGCTACATCCACTATCACAGAGAGTAAAAATCCACATGATAAATTCTGACGTGAACTACTGGAACTTCAACATGGACAAATCCATCTCATTTTAGTACTATAAAAATACACTTAAAAATACACTTAAACTTAGAGTTTAAGATGCCTTGCACCTTTAGAGTTGAGTTTTCCTTCAGTGTGGCCTGATACTTCTCTCTCTAGGATGGAAAGAGATGAGATGTATTTTGCTCCCCTCTTCATAGCTATAAAGACTAGTACTGCAATAAATAAGATGGGAGCACTGAACCATCACTTTCTGCATGACTGAAGGCAGAGAAGCTGACTTGAGAGTGAAAGAAATACTCAGTCTGAAGCTGTGTACACTGGCACGCACGTTCTTGTATTTACAAAGGAGTCATTTGTCTTAGACTAGGGTAGGGTTTGCAGAAAGGTAAAGAGAATATGCGTAAACTATGGCTTCAGAAAACAAATACATAATTCAGTACTACCATGATATTATGCATTCCTCCTGCATGGACAGAAATAAAATAATAATAATAACTAAACTTAAACACTTAAGTTTCTGTGCCCAGTTTTTTAAAAAAATACAGTTTTTAGGTGCTCTCAATCTCTTTGAAAACTTTTATTTTAGGGCAAACCATCTGTTTTTGGAATAAAGAAATGAAACCTAATTTATTTTTGTTTTCTAAAAGAAAACTTCAGAAGGAGAAAAAAAACAAATAAGGAGATGGAAGATAAATGGACTATTTATACGGAGTTGAAGAGACATCTAGTGGTTAGCAAAAGAGAGTTTTCTTGGAGAGCTTGATAACAAGTCCCTTGCAGAATTAAGCTGCCCTATCTTGTTTGATGCAAGTTTGACTATAATAAACAACAATTTTAGATCACATGTGATTTAAGTGTTCTAAGGAGGGGTTTTTATCCACTTCCACAAAACATGTTATTTACCCTTCTATAAAGATTTGTATTTATACTTGATTCCATTATTCTTAGTATTAAACAACTTTCAGCAAGTTTCTCCAGAAAAGATATTTTAAAGCTAGTGCAAAATGGACCCTCAAAGAAATTAATATTTCTACAAATGGATATTTGTAGACAGGATATTTGTATGCATAAAATATACCCATTATTGGCATTTATAAAATAATCATATCATGACAATTTAAAACAATTAAGGAAATTTAATGCATGTTGGAATTAGAAGACTACTTTATCCATTATCTACATTCTCTCTGTATTTTCATACTACTACTTCTTTACTGAACATAAGGATTTGCAAAATCCAGATAGTAAAAGACTTAACCCTACCTCTGACCTAAATATACATAACCCCAATATGAAATATTGATTTATGTTTTTTAATTTCTAGTATCCATTTTTATGATATACTTAAATGGATTCTTCCACAGTTAGAAGTAACTTAGTCATAGATTAAATACTGGAGATCTCTCTCTTTAGGATCATATTTTTTATAATCCAGTATTTCTTCAAACAGACATTTTAGCAAGTAAAATCTGTAACTCCTATTAATTAAGAGGTAACTGCTGGACTATCCAGAAATACTTCAATTCCTGGAATATTAAGTAGAAATAGTATTGCATAATCATTGGTAACACTGGGAAAAGCAAATATTCCCACCTATTCAAATAAACATTCTAAATATTTTATCTTATGTATTATTTATTCTTTGTATAAGTACCCAGAACTCAGAACTTTTTATAAACAAATCCTGATGTTGGTGAATGAACAAGGGAATGAAGAATAATGCACAATGGTTCTGCAGCTGCTGCACTAATTTACTTAAAAATATATATATATATATCCAGGTTTGTATACAAAATGACAATGTAGCAGTTAACTAATAATTTGCTTATAAGGCAATAGGGAAAATCTAGGACAGTTGCATAAGGGACCACACGCTCCATTCTTTTCTATCAGCCATCTCCAAGATCATTTTGTATTCTAACAGACCAAAAATGTTGTTCCAGCTCACACTCATTGCAAGTGAGTAAGATGAAGTTATTTCATGTACTATAAGAAAGTTCGAAGTATATTTTTCCCGTATAAATATGTGCATATACACATGTGCATGTTTTTGTGTGCGCCCATGTATGTTTGCCCTTAATACAAGGTGCACAGACTCGCAAGTTTTGCTCAGATAAAAGAAGGGAACTGAATCAGGGGAGATCTGAGCAAAGATTCCAGAGCCGAGCAAGCAGTGTCATTAAAAGAGTCTCATATCCTCAGGTTAGTACCTAGCTATCTTATTATTTGCAGCCACCAAAGTTTCTGCTAGTATTGTCACTTCTCACTTAATGTCTAAATTCAAATAAAATTGCTCTGCTCTCCACAAAGAGATAGGGAAAAATATAGCTGAAATGTAGAGCACTGAACTACTTGCTTTCCTTATCAATCTTGCATTATATTTTTTAAGTATGAACAAACACTTCAGAAAGGTATAATTTAACCTGCTCTAGAAAAAAAAGTAAGCCCTTGCACATGATAATCCTTATTCACAACTAAAATGTACATTTTGTACATTTTAAACCAATCGCTCCAATGATTAACTCTTATATGAATCACTGTGGCTTTCCTCATGTTTTTAAAATTTAAGTAAGAGCATTAGAAAAGCTGTTCTTCCCTTCAAGTGTATATTTCAGGTGTCTTCAGTCTTTAATATTGTCAAATAATTCTGAAAATAAGTCATATTTTAAGATACATTATTTGGTAAAATGTTTAGTTTGTAATAAGAGTAACAAGCATATTTGTAAGGATAGTCTATTAATCTGCATTAATTCTTTTGGGTAACATGCGGCTTCAGCTTGGCAGGTTTTCTAATCCTTATGTTTCAGCTGTATTATGTTGCTTGCTGTACTAAGGGAAAAGTTTATTCTAGTAAAAATTAGCAATGAAAATGAAGACCAAAATTATTTTTGAGAACTTGTTTCCTCGATTCCACACGACTGGCACACATCCAAATTTTACATACTGGTGCCTAAAAAAAAGAGACAAGATGCATCACACAATAATTGAGCCCCAAGTAACTGATACCTACCATTGCAGTCCTAGATTTGATAAACCAGTCAAATCTGAACTGAGGAGCATTGCGCACACACTGCCTTAGTTCTTCATACACGTTTTCTTTGTCAAAGCCCATCTTGTGTAACATGCATATCAAAAATCTGTCTTCCTCTTCTGTGTAATTTTTGCCTTTGTTCGTTCCATACTGAATACGCAGCTGATGAAAAGGTGCTTTATACCTTGCAATCTGAAGGCAAAACAAGAATACAGACTATTAGACTACAAGATTACATCAAGGATTTATTACATGTTAGCATAGATTACTGAAATATAGTAGCCATATAAAAAGGTAACACTCCCACCCAACTATTCTGTTTCGCAGGAGATTTGAAAGATAGCTCTAACTTTAACCATAGGCAGAGGAAGAAGTCAGCTGGAAAAATAAAATTATTACTTTGGCATCAAGTGCCTTCTTGATACTGATCCTCCGTTGAATTCTTGCTTCTCCTCGTTCAATTTGAGCCATAATCCTCTCGATGTCCTGCAGCTCATTACAACGTTCCCAGAAAACAGCTAAAAAAGCAAAATACAACTTGTGAAATAAAATCTTTTCCTTTACTCTTCACTGTTAAAGCACTGTTCATCAGAAGAGGAATGCAGTTTGTGGTTCCGTTAAATCTTAAAGATTTAATACTCTCTGGTTTACTGTGGTAGCCAAGAAACGAACCTGGTCAGACTTTTATTCAATGTCTTTAAAAGTTAACTAGAAGTAAAAGTTTAGTAACAACTGTAACAAAGTTTAAGTCCCACATAATTAACTTCATGATGTCAGATAAAAGCCCAGAAAAATTTACTTTTAAGGACAGCTTCTCTTAACAATGGTGAAACAAGTTAGAACTGGTAGCCCAGCAGTAGCATTAAACCATGTCTTACAAAATATTCCTATTTCAGTGTTCACTAGCTGTCTCTTTAAGGTCAGTAGGCACTAAGTATAAAAACTAGTAATTTGTGGCCTCTTGGGTGACATCTTTTAAGCAACCCAAAATAAATTCAACAAATTTCAGGGAACTCTAGTGCAGCTGTTCCTTTTTAAGCTACAGACAGAACACTGCAATGTAAAAATTTAAACAGTTTAGTAAAATTAAATCTAAGGATGAAATAGGAAGAATTCTGAACAAATTGAAAGTACTGTAGAAAGAGCAAAGGCAAAGGTACAGAGTACCAGCTAGAAGCCGGTACTTAGAGCATAAAGTAGTATGTTGCTGCTTTGAGGCAACTTCATGATTCCAAAAGACCACAGCATCAAACATTAACTAACTATGCCATGTTCTGCATTTTCACTAAGAGAAAAAAAGACGACTGAAGAGACATGTTTATGATGCAAATTCAACCTTTTCAACAGAACTAAGTCTTCTAAAAGGAATCATCACATACTTTTAAAAAAAATTTTCAAATACTTTTCCAAATTCTACATCTTGTAATTCTAAAAGAAAATATAGTGAAAATGATGGCGATACCCCATGATTAAGAAAGAAACTTCAAAATATCCACAAACCTGAGTACTCAATGACCTCCTCAGGTGACTTTCCCTCCACTTCACGGGCAATATTGTCTATATCATCACGTCCATATTTCTCATTAGCTTTAATAAACTGGTTAAAATCTCTTTTGTTCCAATTTGTAAAACCCTGTAAGCAACAAGAGATCACTAAGTCACCACTATGAAGAAGGGAAAACAATTGTCAAATTTTGTCTTAAGCACATATCATTTGCTCTCACTGATAATGCTACTGCATAGTGTCACATAACTGTAGTGGTCTTTCAGGACTTCCATAAGCTTCTATTATCCAGAGTTTATTACTGAGTCATAAAAAGTCTGAAGAGTTATTTTTGTGCATGACTCCTCATGCATCAGTACAAGCCTTACTGCATTTTTTGAGTGGTATTTCTCCAAAGAAACACACTTAATGACAGGTTACTGTATTTAAGTTGCACTTCAGCAGATACGAGCAACAAAAAGTCTTAGGAGTATAGGGAGCACCAATGCAAGTGTCCTTACAAGTTTTGAGAGCAGTGCAAGTAACTAAAGCAATCGCTCCTATTTAGAGCATTTACAAACCTTGAACAAAAACAACCCACGCTTGGATGAAAGCATAAGTACTTCAAGAAACAGTCTTTAGTCCAAGAAGATGCAATCAAATGGAAACTCTATAGCACTGTCAAACAGAAAATTTGTTATGTACTGACGAAATGAACCCAAAACTGAACAACAGTTAAATGAGATGCAATGCATGAAAACATCATCCAAGAATGAGACATTACAGTTTAAGGACAGGAAAAGGAAAAAAATCACCAAGAATAAACAAATGCCTGAGTAGTAATTTGTAACGCATTGAGTTTCCTTCATTAGAGAAATATATTTACAGGGAAGTCTGTCAGTTCTCCAACTGAATAAGCTCAGTCCACTACTAGATGGCATCTTTACAAGAAATTTAACATCCACAATACAAATATTTATTTTTAATCATTAACAGCAGTACTGACATGGTATCAGCACCAGCGTAAATATTTCCCCTGCTACAAACAAACAGGTGAGATTAACAGTCAAACCGTGGCCTTGCAAATTTCTTCAAGGTGCAATGAGCCCAATTCCTCTACAGAAGAAGTTTCTCAAGCAAAAGCTTGCTATTCTTTTTTTTTTTTTTTTTCAAAAAGCTACTTCTTAAGGAGAAAGTTTAATAAGCCAAATCAGCAGAATAACAGTCCAAAATTCAGGGAAAAAGCCAATGACATGACTTCAATACCAGCAGAAAAGGAGCATGCTTAACAATAGAACTGGGACAAAATTAATGGATGTGACGTGATGTCTTCCATACCTGTGCAAATGCCATATGTTGATATAGGCTTGTCCTCCTCGATTTAAACTACTTCTGATTAAAAAATGCAAGGCAGATACACATCTGAGTGGCACATGCCACTAATTGGATTTCTGCATGTATTGCTGAATAGTGCATCCACTAGACAAGTCTTGGCTTGGAATTGTTGCAGATATTCAAGGAAGCGGTAGCTGAGATAGAAACTTGTCTGAGGACAGGACAGGTCCCTCAGAGCAAAAACAAGCCAAAATCATTTCATTTTGCATGTGCATGCTTTGTTACTTCTGTAACATCAGTGTAGCTTTCCTGCACGTAGTGATCATCATTAGTACTGTGGATTTATACTGCATACTAATAAAAATACACACTAATATGCTTCAGCTCTTTTTATCATTTTACCTGTGTTAGAAGCTTTTCTTTCTCTTCGGTTTCTTCAGGAGTCAGAGGCATAGATTCATCAATCTTCTTTTGCTCTTCTTTTTGCACCTGAGCTGCATTCGGGAGGTCAGGATTCCTGGGAACCTAAAATCAGCAGCAGGGGTATGGATAAGCAGTAGGGCAACAATGTTATTAAAGACAGACTCTCCTATAAATCTTGCTTTACAATTTATAAGCACATGTTACATTTTACAGGGCTAACAGTCTACATCCACAAAGTATGTGCTGTTACAAAAACAACAACCACCACCACCACCACCTCCCCACATAAACAAGAGGGGAAAAAAAAAAACCCAAAGCAAACATACACGCACTTCACACCTTGGCTACCCTGAAGAAACAAAACCATAATTACAATATTTAAAATAACTACCAGAACATTTTCATCATCAGTGTCTACAGAACTGCTGCAAAATTGAAATTACTCTTCTAATATTTGACACACTTTGTCTAAGTCATTCAGCTGAGCTTGTTTACTCCTGTCTCACAAGCTCAAGTGTAATGTTTAGCTTCACCCATAAGTAACGCAAGGGTCCTATTCACTTTTTCTTTAAGAAACGTGCGTGAAAAGTAATGTAGAATACATCAGATTAAATAAATTTTCTAACTATCAAGTGGTACAGCAAACACAGATCGCTACATTTTCTACTGTGAACAGAGTAATTTTCCTAGCAATTACCAAATGTGTTTTATAGAGATTTGAATTTCATTGCTTAAACTCTCACACTAAAAAAATAGGGCTAGGTTTTGTCAAATATTATGTCCTGTACCCACCACTTCTACACCAAACATAAGGATACTCTGAGGGGCAGATCCTCACCTAGCTTAAGCCATCACAGTTCACTGACTTCAGTGACAATTTTCACTAGCTAAGGATCTGCTCTCTTATAAAAAAAAATTATAAACTGTTGGACATAACTCAGCTGAAATAAAGAGTAAGATTTGAAACTACATGAGAAGCTATTTTCTCCTCTATAAACACTATTACTTGAAAAGCTATTGCACTGTATAAAGGAGGCACTTTTCAGTTCACATTTTTGGTTGAATTTTTAGTAGTTTTTTCAAAGAAATATGGAGTGCCAAATTAAATGTGATAGCACACAAAATGAAAGAAGAAATCACATGTCAGGTCACACAAAATTGGTCACCTACAATGATAAACTGCCAAAAGAGATGAATTCAAGCATTTATTCCTTTTTTAATATATTCATCAACAATTACCAAAGTTCTTGATTATATGCTGTATAGCTGAAATCATACATTTCGTAGCTGAAAAGAGATACTTGTCATTTAAGATTCCAAATTGTCTATCAGAGAAATTTAACAAAATAGTACATTTAAAAAATGATTAATTTTAAAGGCTCAAATCTGTCTTATTTAAGTGATGTCACATTTATCTACTTGATTAGAAATTTGTATCTACAAATGCATTTGTAATCAAAACGTCTTGTAGTCAGCAACCACTCTAAATATATTCTAAAGTCTGAAATTATTAAAATTTACTTCAAGTAGAAAAATAAATGGAGATTCAGGCTCTATGACCAATGACTTACATCCACCAGTTCATTATTCAAAACAAAGAAAAAGAAACTGAGAGCACTTAAGACATTTTAATTTCAGACAAATATACTGAGACAAACTTAGCTTGTTATTTTATTTCCTCTTACAGAGCTACATATGCCAGCAATATGAAACCATTATCTTCTATTTCATTTAATAAACACAACATTTTGGATCGAATAACTTGAAAACAGAAAAAAAAACCAGTGAGATATTTCACATCATGCTGTAGCAGCATACATCTGGAAAAACATGTTGGGAATTTTCTTTTTCTCAGAACTGCTCAACACACCCTGCTGCTGAAAGCAGCATAAAGGCCTAAACTTACTTATTTTCATTGACATTTAATTCTTCCTCCAGTAGGCCATCCCCTATATTATCAAGTTATTATGACAACCTGTCTTCCTCCTATCAAGGCAAATAATGCTACTTATTAGTTACTGTACCATTTAGCCCAAGGTGCCTTTCCCCCCCCCCAATCATAGTGCTACGAAAGCTGGAGAAACGCTAGTCTTTTAGTGATGTTTTATATTGAGCTAAGGAGAATGAAAAACTATTTTCATTTACAATATATTGAAAGCTGCTTATATACTGAAAAGGTTAATAGCGCTAATTTGCTACAAGTGCGAGGATCATCCTAAGCTAAAACTCTGCAGTTTACATTTTTGTCAGTAGCATTTCTTTTATCACTACTTATTTTACAATTCCCAGACAAGTGTTAACCACATCCACAAAGCCTATCGCAAAGATCAGAAAACTAATTATCTAAACTACGTATATTCTTTCCGTTCTATTTAATTTCAAACTTCTACTATTTTCTGCTTTTTAAAAACATTCATGAAGACTGCTATATGACTGAAAATAGAAAGCATAACTGAATTTAGTTAATACAAAGTTTTTTAAGGTTTGCAATAGCTGGCCACCTAGAAGATAATAATGTTCTTAATGTGTTTTCCTCATTTACATTTTTTGTCTTCAGAATTCTTACAGATGTCTTTTTATAACACCTCACCTGGCCTTCCCTCGGTTCTCAAAAATTATGAGCAGTATGACAGCAACTTTCTTTCATTTAGAGCTTAAATGAATTTCATTCAGTCCTCCCGATTGAAACACATTCTGATTCTCTAAATATTCTTTTACCTAAGTTTAACTAATATCACCACTTCACATCCTCCACCTCCCGTTTCACACACATACGGCCAAGATTATTGTTGAAGCATTAATTGAAGAATTTATTTCCCTAAGCTAATTATACTTCAATTTTTACCTATCCTGCCATTCGCAAAGTCTTTCAGCTTCCAGCTAGATTTTAAGCACCTCCTGCTTATTGTTATAAAAGAGTCTGCTAATACTAACTCTATTCTTTTGCAATGCAGTGCCAATTTCCTGTCCGCCGCCTTCTATGACAGTTTGTGTTCTCCAACTTGCTTCATAAAAGTATTTTCTTCTTGCTGCAATCTATCACCAGACTTGTTGGGTTTTTTTTGTTTGTTTGTTTGTTTGTTTTGAAGTTACACGTCTGGAAGTAGGAGTCCCAACACTGGCATCAGTAATGAAAATCAACATTAAAACAAAACGTGTATTCACCACTTGCCCAGTAACATTGGGCAGGAGGAGGGAAGCTAAAGCATAGTAGGAAAAAAAAAAATGTAAAACTTGTTTGTTTTTCTTTCTTTAATAATAACATATTCAGATTCTTGTCTACACCTTTAAACACTTTACGCTTCCCAGAAATGGTTTTTTTTTTTAAAGAAAAATATATGAAACATTGGAACTATCTTCACTTTCTCCCACTCTTATTGTTAGGTACCCACCACAGAACACACATGAAGCTACACTGATACGAAATTTTAAATAAAGGAAGAAATTAGAGATGATTGTGTGCCACAGCGTGGAATGAGGTTTTAAGCCATTTTCCTCAAAATGGGAAGCACTTTGCAAAAGATAAAACTAGAATGATATATTATTCAGATATAGTTTCATTTACTTCATTACTACTGTTGAGGTTGAAGTAAATCTGCACAGAATACAAATACATGCCACTAATTTGAAAAAAATAGCATTACCTTATAACCTATAGTCTTACGATAATACAGAATTTCTTTTTCCAGAAGTTCAAATAATCGTGGTGGAAAAAATTGGAAGTCTTGAATATTTGGTTGTTTTGGAGGTCGTGGAGCCTTCAAAAATAATACAGACGTATTAATAACACGTAAACTTGACTTTTGTGCAATTAAATTGCCATTGTTCAGCAGTACTGGCAACATATTGCCCTGCAAAACATACTCGTTTTATTACAAGTATAGGGTAAGAGTAGGGGACGCACAGGGAAGAAGAGAGCAAAAGAATAACAAAATGCAGGGAAAAAAGTCCTTAGCTTTTTACCTTTGGAACTTTTGGTTCACTAACACGTAGGGCTTCTCTAAAATAAGCATCCACTGCATAATTAGCTTTGCGTTCTCGTTTTGGAGGCTCTATCCATTCCATCATGCTCAGCTAAACAGAGAATGGAAGAAAAACGCATTAAAATAACTGCACACAACTGATTAATGAGGCACTTAAAAACAGAAAGGTGTATTTTCACTGTGAATCTATTGCTGCACTCACCAACACGGACAGTACAACACAACTCAAGAACAAGCTAGAAAGGCAGATTAAAACACACAAAGATGAACAAGAGATCATACAGCAGCAAGGGAGGGCTGTGATCTTGCAGTGGCACAGGTAGCCTCCTCTACTGTATTCTGTTCACTCCAGATATCTTAGTGAGGTTGTGATTCTGCCTCCCCAAACCCCGCTGACAGGCTGTGGACTTAGTCTCTGAATTCTGTAAGTTCTTATGGTGAAAGAATTACTTCTCCAAATATCACAGTGAATAACCTATACAGACACTACTTCATTGACAAAAAAAAATCCATTAGACAGCAGTGAATTAATCTTACACTTATTAAAGCATGTTTCAAGACTGTGCTGTATTTAGCTGGCTTGTTTTAATAAATTATTTGCCAGGAAAAAAGAACAACCGAAAAATATAGGTATGCATATATAAACACACTGTATTCTCATTTAATGTTTTTTTTTTCCTAAATGTTTCTTCAAAATTGCTAAAAAACTTGGATAAGAATAGATATGGGGCAACAGATAGCCATACAAAGACCAATCTAATTATAAAAGGCAATTGCTTTGGAGGGTGTACTGCAGTTAACAAATGAGAGTTCCTAAAGCCAGTGGCTTTCTACTTCTTTGGCATAGCCTTTATACCTGTAACATTTTTAGTATGGTTTAGAGGCTCAACCTCAAAGGCCACAGTCTTTACGACTTGAATTTATGAGAAAAATTACCTTCTGTTTTTCTCTATAATCTTCACCTTCAAAATTATATAAGCTCATCTCTGTGTCCATAGTGAAATTTCTTAAGGAACTCTCCCCCATTTTCTGCAATCGTTCATTCATTTCAGCTGTCTAGAATGCAGAAAGATACATTTAGAATCACACAAGATGTTTAATATTTCCTGCAAAAATACCTTTCATCATTATTGAAACATTCTCCCTCTCTTCTCCTAATTCAATCTTCTACTTACATTTTCCGTGTTAACCAGGAAAGAAGCCCATAGTGGTTTTCAACCCTGAACAATCCGACTCAAAGACTTTCCATTAGACTAAGTGTATTATGCTGTGATGTAGCCCTATACAATTTAACATACACCCTGTACACCTATATGATTTAACTTTTAAATTTAACTGAAATTTATGTCCAACTCTTCAGAGCTGAAAGAGTAGTTCATTTTTCCACAGAGCTACCTATTCCCTATTAAAGTTCCATAAAGGTTGTTTGTCTAGTAGAATTGTCGGCATAAAATTTACATCTTTCTAAAAGCCTATCCCATGAAATAAACAGTGCTAAAGATAACGTGCGCCTTTTTTTCCAGTCTGAACTACTGAAAGTCATTACAACTCACTTCTTTTATGTCTTAAGCTTTCATAGCCTTTAAAATACTTACCAACAGTAAAATAGTAGTTGGGTGTAAGCAAAAAGGTTTACTAAATTATCAGATTTAATTATTCTTGCCCTCTATTTCTCTTGTAACATACAATTCATGCATATTTCATGTGTATTTGATGCATATTTCAAATTCCACAGAAATCTATTCTCTCACCTTCTTTTCACCTCTTTCTAGAATAGTGGTTATATCTTCTTCTGTCAGCTCGCTGTCTTTTGAAGCAAAGACATGCGTGGCTCCATGCCGGATCATTTGCAACATTTCATCCTTCGCCAGTTTATTAGACTGTTGGTCTATGAGCCTTCCTAAAATTAGAAGAAATATGTTGAAATCTACAATATAAAAGTTCCAGTAGGCCCATGCAAATAGTAGACTTTTTTCAGTTCACTGCCAGAGGAAGAAAGGAAAAAACAAAACAGAACCACACAGAAGAAATTTTGAATTTCACTTGTGCTGAACATAAACAGAAATTGGGGAGTTATGGGATCTTCAGGGCAGGGGTGGGGGGGAAAAGGGCTCTGGATCAAGCCAAAACAAAAACTGTTTCATTTTCAGATAATTCAAATCTTATTTAAGATCTTGTTCTTGTAAAGTTAGCTGATTTTTTTTTAAACAAGAATCCTACTTTGACCTGAGAAATGACCAAATGTTCTGGAAAGAACATTCAAAAGATATTTATTAAGAAGATTAACACCCACTCTGCTGATTTCAAACCAAATCTCCAAACACTTCTACTTTGCCCAAAATTCTAATTTTTTTGCCAATATTTCACTCATCCTGTTTCATTTCCTCACAGACCATTTTGACCACCATCCTTTCGGTAACCCACCCCTTTGGGAACACAAACTGTCATATGGCTCACAACCGTCACAGACTTCAGCCTAAGAATCTTGGCTTTTGATAAATTGTCTTCAAAGATCTTCATAATAAAGCCACACTGCAGTTTTAATGTTCATTAAATTGCAGCACAGTAAGAATCACATCTATACAATTGTTTTTAACTGTCCTGGAACATACTACTACTATATTTTTTTTAAACATACCAAAAAATCAGTTGATGCCTATTTAACAGTAATTTATTTTCCTCATTTAGATTCTTAACATAAGTCTACGCCCACATTCTTAATTTAGGAAAACCTACACTTCTTTCAGATGAAATTTCATCTGAACAAGTCACTTGCATGTGATCCTTTTTAGACTAATCTAGTGTACTGCTATTATACACAAGGCCTGCTGTCTCATACTGTACTTTTGTAGTTACTTGACCCATGCTCTAAGGGACTGAACCAAATTCTGTTGCAGACAAACATATATAGCAGTTGATACCTTGTTGTATAACTATAGAGTCCAGTCTCAGTTTTATTTCAGCTCTTTCTACAATCCTCTCTTCAACAGTATTATCAGTGATTAGTCGAAACACCCGTACTGGTTTCTTTTGACCAATACGATGCGCACGATCCTAACAAACATAAATCAATGAGTATTCAGTAATAAAAAAAACTCACAGGCAATAGACAGTTAACTTGCTATATAGCAGAAACATCAGACTGAAACTAGCATAAATTTCTTGGTTCCTTGCTTATTCAACAGTACACAACAAATGCAAAACCAGAACAGTAGTATTTCTTATGCCTGGACAGATATATTTTTTAAATTCGGGTCATTCTATTGCAATAAACTTATCTATCTCATTGTTAATGAGGATAACTGAAGGCCTGTCTAGACTGCAACTGGAAAGTGGACTAACAATAACATGCATACATATCTGTACACACACAAACCCCCCCTCTGCATTGCATTCAAACTAATTTTTTCACATGACAAAAGTATTGAAACTTTGGCTGCCTTGACTACAGAATATTAATTCCGTGGGCAAAGTCCGCATATCCACAGCTTCAATACCGTAGCTGTCCCAAGACAGCTACATTTAAAAAAAAAAAAAAAAAAAAAAATCAGTATGCAGCTCACACCTTACAGGTGCTGCACAGAGCAAATAAGGTCTGATGACTAACATACTGTACCTATTTGTACCAAAATCTGTGGTTATTCGCTCTGGAAAAAGTGAATAAAAATATTATTTTGTTCTCTAAAAACAGCCAGCAAGCTGTAGGTACCAGAATTTTTTGGCTAGCCTTTGCACACGAGTTGTTAACTCCTTCACTCTCTTGCATAATAATCATTTAACACTCTTCTTCCTTAAAAGTCTATTGGACCTTAAAGATCATGCTCAGTTCTCAGGAATTCAGTCTACTCTTGGCAGCCAGAGTGCTTCTCAAAAGAAAGGATGATTTGTTTCCAATAAAAGCTTGAGGCATTTAAGGACATTAAAAGGAAAAATAAAACAAACAGCAACAAAAAACAAACAAACAAACAAACCACCGCAATGACAACAGAACAAATTAAACCCTCACTCAATCATCCAAGAAGCATCACAGGATTTTTATTCCATACGAAACAAATTATAGACTTTGATTTTGGAAGTTATTCCATATTCTGAAAGAGAACGCTTTAGTAAGCTTAAGCCAAAGTCAAAGACTTCTTTTCCCCAGTTTTACCACTCAGTGATTTTACACCTGTGAAAAACCAGGCAGGTTGCACAAGCATAAGCTTTCCAAAACGGTAGGAAAGCCGCAGAACATAATGCTGCATGCTTTTAACTCATTGCTATTATTTTGGAAACAGCTCTCTTATTCATTTACTGTTACATGCTGGCAAGACAGAAGTAAGAACAATTCTATGGATAAACAATATTGATGCAATGTTTTCACAGAAGTAATCTTACTCAGTCATGAAAATAATTAGAGAAAAGATATTTACAAGAACAAACTCAGAGTGTCTTCTGTAACTTTGTTTATGCCCTTTCATTCAATTCCTTGGTTTGTTGATATCAAATACAATAGATAAAGGAAAACAACCAAAACGCTGGGAATACTTATACAAAATTGAGCAATGGTATTAGCTCACCATGGCTTGCAGGTCTACTTGAGGGTTCCAATCTGAATCATAGAGAATAACCACATCAGCAGTTGCCAAATTAATTCCTAGACCTCCAGCTCTGGTACTTAGCATGAAAATGAATTTACTGCTGTTGGGAGCATTAAAGGTATCTATTGCTTCCTAAAAAAAAACAAAGTTTCATTAAAGTATCAGAGTTTTCCAACAAGTTCCCAATATATTGGTGACTTCTCACAACTGTAGGTTTGCACATGCAAAATAAACCCATTTCAATTAGACAAAACATTAAGTTGTTCAAATAGTTTGGGAACAAATGAAACTTACTTTACTACAAACTTTTAGTTAGGAAAAACATAAATGCTTTGCTGTCTTTTTATGCTGTAGCATTTTTGCTTTATTTTAAAAAGCAATATAGCTACTCATGTATAACTCTAAACAGCAACAGCTTCTTAATAATCCGATAAACAAACAAATTTATTTCTTGTTTATACAGCTTTCTCACCTCTCTTTCTTCATGTGGTGTCTGTCCATCAAGTCGACAGTACTCATATCCACGCCACATGCAATAATCTTCCAAAATATCCAATAAACGGGTCATCTGACTAAAAAGAAGAACTCTGGAACCTGACAGAACAATACAGAAGGTAAGATTTTGTTGCTGGTTTTATGCTTTTACATTCATCTTTCTACAGAGATTACTGCAGAGCATGAATAAAGAATTTATGTGAAATATGCTGCACTACGTGACTACGCCTAACTTATGCAAACAAATCTTTCTTTTGCAGCTACTTTCCTGACATTGATTTAACTTCTACTCAGGATGGGTTATTTGATAGTTTATACGGAAGAATTTTACAACTGAAGAGAGAGAAAACTTAAAAACATGGTAAGACAAGTGGCTGATGACTGATGTGCACAAGAAAACTATTCCTCTCAAAAATGGTCTTGAAGATGGCAGTAGGGAGATTCTTCTCTTCCTTTCTTTCTACTTCCCCTTATCATTAGTCTTCCTTGCCTTTCCTGCAACGCTTTCTTCCCTCCATGCATTAAAAAGACTACAGAAAAACGGTTCTGAGCAAAAACCTCACTGAAAGTAATGAATGCACACACTGGGGGAAAGACAAGGATGAACCTATGCAAGTTTTAAAGTGCATTTTTACTTATGATGGCTATTTAGATCATTACTGTTCATAGATGGTACTTACCCTGTTCTCTGAGTTTTGTGAGCAGTTTATCCAGAACTAACATTTTACCACTGTTCGTGATGAGATGCGTGTCAGTGGTGTAAGGAGGGCCAGGCTCAGCACCATCAAATAGGTATGGATGGTTACAACATTTTCGCAACTGCATCAGAATATTCAGCAGACGCATTTTATCCATTTTCCCAGCTGAATTTAGGATATCAATATCTTTCATCAGGATCCTGGTATACCTGAAGTTTTATGGACAATTTAGGTTTCGGTCTAGGTTTCTTTTCGTATTTAAAACGTGAAAGAATCCCTGAAATGTCTCAGTTACTTTTTTCCAGAAGCAGAAGATTGTTTTGTTTACATGAATACTTAGGTATATTATTAAAAGACTTGGGAAAAATAATTGACTGATAATAAGGATTTATAAATCTGTACCTAAACTGAAAAGCAATCTGGCAGTGAAGGACACTGATCTGCCATTTACTAGGTTTTCCTACACTCCTGTTCTAGGATTACGGAGTAGATTAAAGTTATCACAGATCTGACCAAAGCTACTACACTGACCTGACTCTGGGATCTGCATAAGTAAAGAGATGAAAAAGCCCTTTTCTCATCTCTCTTCTGGCTATGCGGCTGCTCAAGATCTCATTTTACTTTTTAAACTTTGAGACTTCTACTGGTGCATACCTACTTGCATCAAGAAATGAAATGCATTAGATTATACCTTCTTTCAAATAGACTTAAGGAAGGGAAAGAAGAAAAATTCTTTTTTCCATCCTTCACCCATCCCTTTTCATTACAGTTCCTGAGCACTTTGTAACTACTGTCTAAAGAGAGAGGGGAAAAAAAAGGGGGAAAAATAAGAAGAAAAAACACCAGCCCGAAAGACACCTCTAAACATGCTTTTCTCACTGACTGTCTTCTTGACATGCAATAGCAAGAAAAAATAGTAATTCAACACGAAGAACTGTTTTGTTTTAAAGTAAAGAATCTTAATGTGAAGAACTCACCATTCCCTCTGCATTTTGCTGAGTCCAAGGTAAATTTTTACTTCTTTCTTAGGAGGTAAACTCTTTTCTACTTCAGCTTTTATGCGACGCAATAAAAACGGCTTCAAAACCTACACAAATTAGAATTTTTCCACAGAGAGATTTAGAATACAGATTGCCTCAAATACAATAGTAATAGATTCAATTCTGTAATACTTTTTCTATCAAAACTAAGCAATTGCTATTGCTCTCATGGTGACCCCCTCAGAGCAATTCTGCTGCAGTGTGAAAAATGAAGTTTCCCATTCTTTTTAATAGGCTGCTAAGTTGACACATGAAATACATAATACTTTTACCATACTCTTCCCAGTTGTAGTCCTGAGCAAGGATCAATGTCATGAACTTGTAAATCAGTTTATTCTCTTTTAATAAAAGCTCTGTATCATTTCAACTAGTGGTTTATACAAAATATACTAACATTTCAAAGATTTAAAAAAAAAAAAAAGTATGTTGCACTTTCTTCTGATGTCAGTTTTATTACCATATGATGAAAAATGCCTTTTCTATTTTACTCACAGCAAAGGTAAAGACAGGTCTTTATTTATTCAGGCTAGTCTTAACGTATCAATATAATATTCAGGATAATAAATGGTTTCAAAGAGTCCTCAAAATTCTTCATGTTTGTATTTTACACAGAGATTTTGTCCACTTCAAACAGCAATGTACAGAACTACAAAAAGTAGTGTCTGTAATTTCTGATATTTTATTCATAACAATTCTGTTGAGCATTTCTATAACAAAACACGTTCATGTGCATTTTCGCAGTATTGACTGAGATGAAGGAAGGAGGAAACAGTCTGTTTTTATTTTTACATCATGTATGCTAACAATGATGCATGATTATAGATTTAATTACTTACAGCATGAAGTCTTTCTACAAGTTTCTGATCACCGAGACAATTTTTAGTGTCAAACCATGAGTCGAAATCCTGTCGGGAAAAAGCACAACTAGAATGAATAGTGTATCATCTCTATTTCTAACAGACATATATGGACTCTCATTCACTCCAACAGAGTGGCATATATCTTAAGACATATGACTTCTATCAGCAAAAGAAAAATCAGACCACAATTCTATGTCAGCTGCACAGCACACAAGAACATTTAAGTCAACTGAATAGCTCCACTGACAGAATACAGTTATACTGTTACTCTGTTCCATCTGCAATGATATTTCATGTTCACTACTGGAATATCTCAGCTCTTACCTTAGCACTTGCACGATGATGGGGCAAGAGGGTAGAAAAAAAAAAAGAAAACAGAATCCATAAAAAGCGAGATGAAAAACCTAACAGAAAGAATGGAAGCAATACAAGGACAGCGAGAATGCAATAGCAAAAAGAGAAAGATGACTCAAAGAAGCAGCAAATTCTAAATGAAAAAAGGTTTATGTCTATTTGGATGCTCCATATTCTCCATTCTGCACCGCTTTCCCAAATTTCGCTCCACTTTGCATGATTCTTGAACTATTTACAGTACCGCAGTTGTCATTACTGGCTTGAAGCCTTATCTGCACTAACACAATGTATTATTTTAACTAGATAAAGCAACAAAATTGTCCAGTTAGGTAAACTCCAGAGCGTCTACTGAAACCAGGTCTTCCAAATCATATGTCTTTTACTAGCTAGTCATTCTTCTCCTCTGCAGAAAGTGTCCTGGGTATCAAAATAACAAGATTTTACTTCCAAAGCTCAACTTACATCTGCAGAATTGAAGACATCAGGTAGAAGAAAATTCAGTAATGCCCACAGCTCGTGGAGGTTGTTCTGTAAAGGAGTTCCTGTAAGGAGCAATCGATTCGTTGTCTTGAACTCCCGGACAATCTCTGACAGCTAGAAATGTAACAAATAGTTATCATCACCATTGTGTACAGTTTAAACATAATGAACTTTCATCAGTTTCTGCAGCCTGAAACCATACCAACTGAATCTGAAGACAGTGAGCTACCTCTGATATTTATACTTTCCACTCAATAGCTTACTGCTTATATTTTCTAAAAAATATTTTGATCTATTTGAAATACAAACAGTATCTAACACTCAGAACTATTAGGTATTTTGAAAATACTTGGACACAAAAGATTCCAACTGATTTTCACAGATTTTGAGTTTACCTTAGACTTCTCATTCTTTATTCTGTGAGCTTCATCAATTACCAGGTACCTCCAGTTAAATTTTTTGAAGACAGACTTTTCCTTAATAACCATTTCGTATGATGTAACACAAACATCCCATTCTCCAGGCATCATAACATCACGGATAAAAGCTGCCTAAAGAAAAGGACTGAATCAATTAAAGACTATTTACAAAAAAGAATAATTTATTTGAGATTCAGTGAAACATATCTCTGCCGAGATGACTGAAGCAATAAGATAGTACATTAAAAAAAAAGTATTAAACATCTTTTATACAACAAAGGTAATCCAACAAAAGCCTTCGATCCTTTGCACTTTAGGCATAAACAGATCAGCAGCTGTGGTTAAAAAAAAAAAAAAACACACACACACAATTTTTATACATCAAAATAAGTATTTGCTCTTCAGCATAAGTTTTCTGTAAGAGTTGTTCTTTATCTTCTTGCATCTGTTTGTCTAAAAACTACTTAAGAGATACGCATCTAATGTACTCACTTAAAGCATTTGAATACACTACAAAATTACAGATGTAAAACCCCTCTAAACTATCCAGGCCAGAGATACAAAACCCACAGAAGAGCGTTTCAGAACAATTCTTCTAGTCCATTCCCACCTCCTCTTCTTTCTGAAGTCCTCTCTCCTCTGTCCCATCACTATTTTGTTATAGATATATAAATCCATTCATATGAAAGAACATCACCCCATGGAAAGGTCAAAACAGGCAGGTCTCCAAGAACTTATTTAGAAGGTTGCATGGTCCACCCTAGCTAAAAGGACAGACACAATTGTTTCAGTCCTTCCCCTCAAAGGACTAGCTAATAAAGGAGTGTTCTCTACAACGCCATAATATGCACTGATTTATTAACACAAACATAAGCACAGAGGTGCTTTAACCACTATAGAACACAGGGAGATTAAGCAGAAAACCAGGAAATGCAAAATTATGCCAATACATACATAATATTCTGAAAGCAAAGAAAATGCAAGGTACATGCTCCCCCTTCAAAACAATCTTAATTTCATCCCATGGAACTAGCAACACACACTAGATATGATTCCACAGCTGTGCTACAGATATTATCAAGCCTCAAATCATTAATTTGCACAAGCCAGACTGCCTTACTTCGATCTCAATCTATTATTTCAGATGCTGTTTACATTTTCCCTCGCCGTTACAAATGTAACATTTCACATTTTCAATGCTAATATAGTCAAAGATTGCTGAAAAAAGACTATAATTAATGAGGTAGCTTAGAGAGAATTCTCTTTCCCAAAACACCCACTTCTGAAAAATAACGTATAACATCTTTTGAAAGTAAAGCACTTACTCTGGCATCTTTATCTCCAATAAGGCAAACAGCACGTAACGATGGAACCCAGCGTTTAAATTCATTCATCCAATTGTGCAAAGTTGATTTTGGAACCAGGACCATGTGTGGCCCAGGAATGTTTCGGTAATGCTTCAGATAGCCTAATAACGCTATCGTTTGCAGAGTCTTACCAAGACCCTACATTGGCAAAGAGGGGGAAAAGAAACCTTCTGAAATGAAATATCATACAGAAATAGTTTTGAAAAAATTTCCAAGCATATAAGATTGTCAGTTATTTATAGCGAAATACACATAGCAAATGATTTCAATACAGCTTCTTTCATTATATTACAGTTCGAGTTGTGAAAACTTAACTGTTGTAGAACAATGCGTACTCCTGCACATACAATAAATACTGCAGTTACTTTAATGTTTGAACTTTGTTCTCATTAACTACCACTAAACTTTATTATCCATGACATATAATACGTATCTTGTTTAATTACACAAAATAATTCCATCATTCAACCTCATCTCTAGAGGATATATTTTGATATTTATCAAGAGCACCAAAATCTTGGACTTTATCAAGGCTGCACACCCTCTTCCTTCTGAGTAGCGTTGAAGAAAACAATTTGCACACCACTTTTACTTTTGAACGCAGAAGTCACACAAACAAAAAAGACACAGCAATGATTATACGTTTTTATACATTACACATAGACAGGCATTCTCAATTAGCTACTATTTACCTAACCAAAGCAATAACTGCTTGAATAATTTTATCATTTCATGTACTGTTTACTATTACAAGATTAATTTATGTACAAATCACACAATTTATATTCACGTAAAAAAAAAAGTTATTGGGCAACTGAATATAAAACTAAAGAAAAAAAGGTCAGAAAAGGATGGTTACTTTCCACAAAAATTCCAAAAGATTACTACTTACCATTTCATCTGCCAGAATGCCATTAACACCATTTTCATACAATGAGATCATCCAGTTCAGCCCTCTAACCTGATAATCTCTTAGCGTTCCTCCTTTCACATCTGTAAATGTAAGATGCCTCTAAGTAGAAAAATACTAATTCTAAGTAGAACATTTTAATTGCAATTTGATGAGCAGATTTTAACTAAATCAAAGCAAACAGAAAACTGCCAAGAGAAAACTTACATGAAGGAGATTCCTCAAATCGAATACACACATTAGATGTCTTTCGACTCTCAGACAACAACTCTTCATCTTCTTCTTGTTCTGTGCGCCTGTGACGATAACTAAAGAAAGAATTCAAGATTGAAGCATGTATGAAATACCTTCAAAACACTGACCACATAATCAAAACAAGCCAAATTAGGATAAAAATAATTATTGATCTATAGTGTGCATGTTCTAGCATCCTGATCTTTGGCAGAAATTATATTCTGTTAATAAGTTATTCCTCATGGTTCACTCCAGCTTTAATTATGAGAGTTGAAATGCAGCCCTCTTTTCCAGAGCTATGACTATACTCTGACAACAAGTATTGTGAGTTCTCCAAGAGATACTGTACTAAGCAACAGAGTTTTAAAACACGCACACATCAATGGTGGCCTTAGAATCAATTACTTGGCAATTATACCATGCAGAAGAATCAGGTATTTCATTCCAAAAATTGTTTTAAAAATTGATAAAACAGAAAATGCTGTTTTGCTAACAACTTAAAAAGCCAGTTGTTAGATATTATAGACTCTTCAAACACCTACAGGCTACATCTACACTAATGAGTAACGCAGACAGAATTGTGGAGTGAGATAACTGGTGCTGAGGATCCAGCATCCAACTATATTCATGCTGTGTTGTTTTATATTGTCTAGCACTAGTCTGATCCCACTGACATGCCCACTAATGGTTGGAGCACATCACGTGCATCTCTGGAGCCCACCTTCCAGTCTAGTGTTATCCAAAAGAAATTCAATCCATGTGCTCCAAAATCATTCTACAGTATTAACGAAAGCATGGTAAGTAGCAATGATCAGGGAATTTTCTTTAGAAGTTCTCTCCTGATCTAAACTCATGCCAGTGTAGATGGACCAACATCAATTCACATGCCAACACATTTTCCTATTAACGGTGTACCGTAATTTCTTTAGAAAGTTCTGGACTTAGTTAAATCAGAATCTTTAGATTACTAACTAACTAAATATAGTAAAAGGCATAATTAATTTGAAAGCATAACTTAGAAATCGAAACATAACATACTCCCCAGCTGAAATCAAACTCTGTTTTTCATCCTTCTTTGTCCGTGGCCGTCCCAGTTTGACTTTCAGCGGAGATGTTGGTGATTTTTGTGCTGCAGGCTGAATAAAATGCGCAAAAAGTTCTGTCTGTTTCAGGAGGAATTCAAATCTTTTTGCTCTGTCTGCTTTCTGGTTTCCAAAGTGGGGAGAAAATTAAAAAAAGAAAGATCAGTAACTTTTCTTCATGAACAATGTTCTTTTTCTTAAGAAACAGACTCATGAGGACAACGGATACTAGGGAAGACTGATAAGATCACTGCCAACTGTTAGCCAACTAGAGACTATAAACATCATGCAAAAGCTCTTGAGCTTCAGCTTACAACTTAACATCAATTACTTTAAAGCACCCACTTGTAATTTGTGGTAGTATAGAAGCTCCTTCCTGAATACCACAGCAATCTGGGACAGACAGCAAGAGTTGATAAGCTCAACCCAGTTAGTCATCCCGATTCATAACTCAAAGACTTAGTAAACATCTTAAAAAATAAAAATAAATAAAAAAATAAAAAAGATGTATTTGTACAGATTGCTTTAGGTCTGCATGACATATCAGTAATTGTAACAGCATACCTTAAAGAACTCAGTACAAAAGATCAACAGAAAGATGAAGTTCTGACTTACAGTAAGGGATGAAATTCTGGTTTTGCTCAAGTCAGTGGCAAAACTTCTGTCAGCTTGAAATTTATCAGGATTTCATTCAAGAAGACACTGTGCTAGCTCCACTTTTTAGAAATGAGTAACATAATGGATGCACAAGCTTAATACTCCCTTCGCTGAAGCTAGTGAATTTTGCTTTCAGATCACAAATTTCAATCATTTAAGTTCTGCTCTATCAAATGAGGCACTTCATTAAATACAGTGAAACATGTCCTTCACTGCATTTAAAAACCAGGTGATATAATTTTTTAAGAAAGAAAAATAAGATAGAATGCAATTGCTATCAGTTTTTCTATGGCATTTAAGCATCATGTAACACTACATCACATAAAGAATTTTTCTGTGATCTCATTTATATCTTGACACATAAGCTACAAATGTGAAATCGCAATTTTGTGCCATAACCTTTCTAAGAAATATATAAACAACTAAGCTTTTCTGTGGAAAAATCAGATAATTTTTACACAAGCAACAGTGCTCTAACAGCAATAACATGAACCAGTCTGTTAAAGGAAAAGCCAACTAAAACTGAAACAAACAACTGCAATGCATGGGCTTGCCACAAGAGGGCAACGTATTTACAATGCATTTATTTTAACAGCGCAAATCTTAACAACATGTAAGTGCCCTTAGAAAGCTCTCCTAGAAATCACTCTGACTTTCTGTGTGTTTTGAAATTCGGATAAGATGGCAATATCAAGTAAAACTTTAATATGAAATGATTTAGGGAGAGGGAGGGGCCTTAAAACATTTTTACGCTTATGCTCGTGCAGGACAAGAACAAATTCACCCGCAGCATTTTAAATGAAACTGGTAACAGACCAGTTTGCCTTGGCAAACAAAGCTAACCATAGCTGGTGAGTTTCCACACTGAATGCCACAACATACACCCAGCCAATAATTTTGCAAGCAAAGAGTAAATTGTGTGCCCTGGAAAACAGTATAGTTCTAGCTCATGACCGCACAACTGATAAAAGGTAGGTTTTTGGAGGCACATTCCCCCTGACTCTTAACAACAGCCTCTAACCTTCTAAGTCAGGAATGACATAATATTAACCATATATTATTTTGAAACTAAGATTAGTTATTTATTCAACTCATTCTCAATAAACAGATTTACTTGTTTGTCTTATTGTTGGCTAAAAATTAAGTATTTATTCAGGTAGGCATCAATTTCCATAACAGTGACGCTCTTCCCTGGCTTCCATAGAATTCAACCCTCTACGATTCTACTGTAATAATCAGACATCCATTTAATGTTCAAGCTTTTATGAAAACACAGCAAAGACACCGGAAACCAGCATCAACTACGAACGGACCGCACGCAACACTCAAGAGCAAGCCTTGTAATGCCCTTCCTCTTCTTTCTGCCTCTTTGCAATATCAAAGTTACTCTCTTATCTCTATTCTCTTCTCCAGGGCTACAAATTCCCTTAATTTAGGTCATGGATAGATCCTACTTTGCACTGTTATACTATGGAGCATATCAACATTTAAAACCTCCGCAATTTTAGAGAGAGGATGAGAAACAGCCAGCTTCTGTATTTCTCTCATTTAAGCAGTTACTTAAAGAGGCCTCAGACATGACTCCTGGGATCATCAAATGAAACCAGCAGATATATATTCAAAACAGAGAGGGGAGAGTTCTAAATGTAAAATGCAATTGAATTAAAATTCCTTACCACAAAAGGGTCCGGATACTAAATTTACGTGAGGAAAAAAAAAAGCAAGTGGAAAAAATTGTGGAAGAAAAATCCACTCACAATTATTGTGTACAAAATCACAGCCTCCAATTCTGAAAATCATGCAGCCACAAATACCTGGAGAATGGGACAGTCTTTTACAGAACTACTGCCATCTGCTTGCTCTGTTCTCATAACCTTCACTAAACACCTACTGCATGACACTGGACTACAGGCAATTGTATCTACAGCACCATCCTCAATTCATTTTCCTTTTCTGACACATCCTGCCTGCAATAGCTCCTTGTTACCTGTAACTGCGTCCATCTAGCTCAAGCAAACAAACTAAAAACTTTCAGAAAAATCTTGCCATCTGTTTTGCTGTGAAAATACTTACCATCTTCTCTTCATATTCTGGGTCAACTTCTTTTTCAGGTCTGGCTGCCTTTGGCGGAAGTTTGAGTTGAAATGGAGGATCATTTTTCTGGAATTCAAATTTTAAACACTCTATAATCATCAGCATCTTTACTTACTGAAGTAAAAATATCAAACTGAAAAAACCTGCACAATATAAGAATAGCAGGATTCTTTTAAAAACAATTATTTCAAACAGGGAGTGACTGCACTAATTACATTACTACCCAGAACAGAACCCGAAATCCATGATGTAAAGAGAAGGAGATATGAACAGATAAAGCTTAAACTGCAGATTAATCTCATCCTTATATTTCTCTCTTCAAATAGGATCCACGTTGAAAGGATTGAAGGAAAGTTCTAAAAGAGAGCAAAGTTTATTCTTCCACAGAGAAGACCTTGCTATAAATTAATAATTAAATTTAACATCTTGAGAAGATAATTTAAAAAATATGATTTCTAAATTTAAAATTCCTAACTGTAAATTCTGAGCACCTGTGTCTTGTTTTTTGCTCTTCTAGATGAATGGTAAGAGTTCATTTGGAAATACAGGTCTAACTACACTTAGGCCAAACACCTAGGAAGCGACACAAAATCATCAGAACAATCCATGCAGCAACCACTGAGGATGCTCTTAGTTAACAAAGGACTACCTTATTTACTACAAATGAAAGAACTTTAAGAGATTAACCAAAATGGTTAGTTTTCATAGTTTACATGGTTCACTTTTGTCTTCAGTTGGGAAGCTCAGGGCAGGTTTACATAGCTTTAACTGCCACTTTGCTGTATAAAAAAAATGAAAAGCTGGCAAAAAATGATACTTGCAAAATATAATTTTAAAAAGATAAACCATGGGAGATTTTTTTTCTAATCTAATCTTTGAAGCATGTTATTCTGGGTATCTCCTTCAAATAAAAAATATTAAATACTTTATTCTTTGAGACACATCAAATTATGAAAGTGTTTTTGAAAAACATTGAATAATGCCAAAGTGCACCTCTGTAACAAAACAGGATCTCAATCTGACAGGTGATATAAGCATCACCCTAACATGTATACATTAACATGAAATAATAATATAAACAATTTGGGTCCAGGTAGAAAAGTCAGTCCAAAATGGGCCTAAACATGTAGCAGTTTTTCAAGAAGCATAACGCTTGTTTTACTTTCAGAATTGTTACAGATCAATATATATGCAGGAAGCCTTTATGTGGAAGGACATAAATAAGAGGAACATAATCTGAAGCTGGAGAACACCTTTCGAAGTTTTGGCCCAAAGACATAAATCTCTGCAAAGATGAACAGTACTAAGTGTATAATAAAGTTGTTTGACAATTTAATGATTTTATAAATGCCTGACTTCAGCTTCCAAGGCCAAATGGTTATGTTGCAAGTAGATAGCATCAGAAATTTTCTATGATAAATGACTTAACTTCTGACAGCTTGATTCAGAAAGAAGTGTTACAAGAGGGCTGTTATGCCAACATACAAAAAAGCAGTTCATACACATGTGTATACCCATGCCTCCATTAGATTACTATGTAACATAGCATAAACTTCAGTGTGAAAGACTACCAATGCTAATACTGGAAACAATCTCCTTGTTACCAAAGTGACAAAATACTTCACAGTAGCCCATTTCAGATGTTTCTTTCAGCTCCCCGGAAATAAATTAACATGCTCCTAAATGAACATGTAATGTAAATGAATGTGTCTCAAAAAATTAAGTCATCTGTCTACCTCAGATGAGTCTGAAGTTTCTCCTGGACAGAGGAGAATGGTTCAATATTATGAGAATCCCCTTGGAAAGCTATTGCATTACAAGTCCAAAGGCAGATGGCTCTAATACCAGACTGTCTGTCCTGTTACTCAGATTTCCCTAGCAGAAGGAAATTTCACACTGGCCATACCCATCCAGCTTATTCAGAAATAATTACTTGTGAATAATACGCTTTCCCAGTTAAACAAGTAAGTGAACTGGTATGTAAATTTACCACAGCTACAGCATGGTAAATTCACATTCTACACCGTAACCTTCAAGAAAAACACTTCAAGAAAAAGCAGGGTGTTCCCTGCTCACCCTCACTCCTCATTGCAGTGTTTCTTCATCTGATTTACAGATCATTGATGGCCCCACAATATCAGAAGTAATGAACAGGAGGAGACTATCAAAAACTGAAGTAACACACAAACAACTTAAGACATACGCATCCCAGTATCCTTTCTCTTCCTGACAACTTACATAGTGAAACCATAGCATACTCTTTCCTCAAAACATTGCTGGTGGAGCTAGATGGGTAGCAGGCACGACCACCACATCTGAACTTGCTGCTGGGTAATATCCTGCCTTATAAAAAACTAGAGCTTGCCAATTATTACGTTTTGATATGAATAAGAAAGCTTTTCTCTTTTCCTACTAACTGTAGCATATGTCTAATACAACACAGAAGCACAAAACAATTCATAAGTTTATGGGAGTCGTACCCCAGAAACAATACGCTAGAAACAATGCATCTTCAATAGTAAGAGGACTGATTTAACAGAAAATCTGATCAGCAGAAGCCTCAGTGCAAAAAAATATATATACCAGCAAAAGGGTACTTTCACTTTTAACTCATTTTGTGCAAGGAACCATCTGGTTATTACCCACCTCTACCCTAAAAAAATTTTCCACTAAAGATTAAACTTGAGATAACATAGCCCACTGAAAAATTGTGTCATTTAAACATCTTATGATCAATAACATTGCACAATTCTTTCAAAAACAGAGCCCGAGGCATTCCAGGGACCCAAAACACTTTCCCTTAAAATCTCTATTAACTAGTCTAAACAAAGCTACTAACCTCAGGCTGTGAGAGAGAATTCTATCTAGTCAGTGCAATAGTTTGTCCTAAATTGGATTATCCACATGAATGCCTAAATAAATGACTGGGAATAAGAACTGCTGCTTTGGTCGACTTTATTCCTGTACCCTGTGCTGCTGAGTTTTCTAAATAGATGCATTAATCAGAAGGACCTCCTTTTGTGTTGAACTCACATATGCAAAGTGGAAACACATTGCAAACAATCATTAACTTCGGACTCTATTAGACTGCTGCTGCAACAAGAGACTATGTATAGCGAAGCAAAACCTTGAAAGGGGTAAAGGGGCGCAACAGGTTGCATTATATCCCATTATTATGTAGCTTCCTACCTGTAGAGTTATGGAAGTGAAATTCCATAGTCTGAATGAAAACCTCAAACAACAGCAACCTCCTTTTTTTTTTCCTCCTCCTTAAGAAAGGTAGGGAACAGTATGGTTGATACATTCTAACCTGTTCACTACTCCCAAAGGATCTCGCCAGATACTCATTAGACATTTATTATCAATTTTGTATCAGCTGAGATGTATACAATTTGACAGTACAAGCTGTATCCAACAGAGAGATAATCCTTTTTTCTCCCGAACCATCAGGTGATGTTCACAAGTACACTGCCCTCTATTTCACAGCCAACCGCCTTTCTCGCACAAGAGTGCAAGAAACAGGCGTTCTTCTCAGGGAAGAATGGACTTCCAGGGAGAAACAGACTTTCCCCAGCTGGAGTTAAAATTCTGACGGCGCTATCATCATTTCTGCCAGCTTCTGCAACGCCACAGCACCCGGGCACGAGTTCTCACAGGGCTCCTTCCTCAGCTTACATCTTGCTCGGTTTCCAAGGATACCTGAAAACACCGCTGCGGCTAGCGGCCTTAGCCCGGCCGTCCCGGTGGGACCTTTTCCTCCGACCAGCCCCGCAGGCCGGCG